GTGGAAAGGCCTGAATCAGAAGCCTCTGGGGGTGGGCTGCTTGTAACCCTGTGACAGGCAGAGAGTCCTGGCTTACAGATACACACAGCACCAAGCTACTTGGTGAGAGAATGTGTTTATACACACAGGGTCAAGCCTTAGGGAACCACAGCCCATGTGGGGAGGCAGTCTTGGTGCTGAAACCGGCTCCATTTCCTTTTTTGACTTTGACCACCAGGTAGCGTAAAGTCAATGAGCAGCTACACCTCACTGACAGTAAGGGCCCTTTGCCTCCTGCCCGGGGCCCTCCTAGTACTCCTTTCTCCGCCACACTTATTTTTCTTGACTCTGACTTTTAAATTTTATTTACACATTTTATTATATATATTCTGGTGAGTGACTTCCAATCCTCTGTGGCATTAAACCAACCAGTGGGCACTGAGTAAATTTCGGTGACCCCGTGTGTATTAGAATAGAACTGTGCTCTATAGAGTTTTCAGTGGCTAGTTTTTCAGTAGATCACCAGAACTTTCTTCTGAGGCACCCCAGAGTGGACTTGAACCTCCAACATTTTGGTTAGCAGCTGAACGCGCTAACCATTTGTACCACCCTTTTTTGGTATTACTGAGGTATAATAAGTCAGTGAATAATACAAGGATGGAAACAAGATAAAGAGATTCTGTTTGTCCAAAGTTACCCAGAGCATTCAGCTAACCCAGAATTCCACTTTCCAGGGGACTCTGTGAATGTCTCACTCTTACCTGAGAATTGTCAATGAGTTCTGATCGCCCTAACCAGAGCCTGAAAGGGAAGGGGCAGTGGGCCTAGAAGAACCAGGTTACTGGTTCTTATTCCACAGAACCTCAGACTGAGTGGTGAGAATGAGTGAGAAGGTAGCACTGGAGGGGGCATGAATCAGCACAGTCAGGTCGGAGCAATTTCCAAAGGGAGAGAACGTGAGTAGGGCTGCCTTTTGACTTTTGTGGACCCTGGGCACTTTTGCTTTTGTGGGCACCTTTCTCCATACAAACTGTATTTGACGAGCTTGTTGGTATAAAGATAATAGAATCTAGGCTGGATTCATTCATCTTTTCTTCTGATTAAAAAAAAAAAAAATTCTAAATGAATTAAATAAATTAAATTAAAAGCTCTGTTTGATGACCACAGAGATCAGTTCTGGTCTGACCACTGCACTTTTCAGAAGAGGAAGCCAAGGCTGAGAGGGGGAACTTGGTCCATCGCCACAATGAGGAAGTAGACACTTTGAGTAAGATTGCTGGGGTGGGCTCCATGTAAGTCCAACACAAGAGTTTGTTGAGTGTGACATCACCCTTCAAGGTGGCAGAGGGCTCATGAAGGGGGAACCTACTCATTTAGAGTCTGTGTCACTGTGTGTGAACAGGGTCTGAGTTTGTTTGCCTTTGTCCTGTCTACAAGAGAAGATGTATAAGGGAAATTTAAAATGCAAATGAGGTGAGCGAGGTGTTTAAACAACCCAATCTGTTATTCTCAAGCACTTTAGAAGCACCAATTTATGTTAAATACAGGTAGTCCTTAACTTATCTGAGTTATGATGAACTGCCCCTACAGCAGTCTCTTTTTTCCCTTTCTTATCATTAGCAACATATACTACATACAGTGCATAATTTGCTGATGTTATCATTCTGATGTTCATAGTGATATTCAATGTTATGATTTATTGTTCAAAACACTGCCGTATAGCAAGCTATGAAAACCAGAAAAAAACAAAAAAAAAAACAAAAAAACCAGGGTATTTGACTTACGTCAGAACTGACTTATGACGGAGTCATCAGAACGGAACTCCGTTGTAAGTCAGGGACTACCTGTAATCAAACAATAAACCCGTGTGCTACATCATGGGTGGTGCTTAGCTCATCATTTAAACACGTTTCTTAGAGACCTGTGGTTGTCCCTTGGTGGTACAAACAGTTAAATGCTTGTCTGCTAGCTGAAGGTGGGGAGTTCAAGTCCACCCAAAGGTGTCTCAGAAGGCAATCTACTTTCAAAAAATAGCCAAAGAACCAACAATGGTCCTATAAGTTTATGTGAATGATCAGAATTCCCAGGTGTATAGTAGAGCTGACAAGGGGCAAGGTTATGGTCATTGCTTGGTCACA